AAAACCGCCGTTTTGCTGCAGCAACAAGGGCCACTTGGGCTGCCGCTGCAGCCTTCGAGCTGCCATAGCCCTGCTCCTTCTCCATCTTAATTGCCACATGCAAAGAAGTCTTGGCCTTAACCTCCTGGCCGGCGGTTCGCCATGCCAAATTGGCACTTTCGTAATCCTGGTAGGAAGACAAAGCTTTCTTCTTCTCCAGCTTGTTGAGGAAACGGATCCCCTCTTTCTGAGAGCTGGGCACCTCCTCGGCACCGGGGGGCCCTTTTCATACACCAGCTGAATGTCCTCGTCCCCTGTAAAGGGGGCCGGGACATCTTCTGGCTCATCCGATTGCTCCTGGAGCTTCTCCTCGCAATCTTGCAGCTGCTCCTCCAGCTTGCTCTGATACACACCGTCAGCATACCCGCTGTTTTTCCAAGATGACCAACTCCAGCATCGTTGGGACCCCGACGATCGGATCTCATTCTGCACGGGCCCTCTTGCCCATAAGTTGGTATTCGGAGCCTGCCGCATCCAATTAACACTCACAATTTATGTTGATGCAGGTTTTCTTCCGAAGGTAGCTCTTGGTCCCACATCTGGGACAAAAACGAACGTCTTGCAGGGCTTCCGGTGCATTCTGCTGCGAACACCTCAACATAGCTGCAGCCTATAGAAATGATCGATCCAGGCTCCAAAAAGAAAAATCGAGCAAATCGCAGCTACAGAACATTCGAATCCTGACTGCTCCCACAAAGAAGTATACAGCTGCACATCTGCATGCCCTGCAAACAGCGATCCCACATTTGCACACGTCTATCTGCTTACCAAGAAGCTAGCATGCATGCACTGACAAGAATGCAAACATGCCCTCGCACCTCGACCTGCAGATTCCGGAAAGTCGCAGCTGCTGCCGCAAGACCTACAGCAAAGATTCTCCAACTGATGCATGGACTCTCAGCTATATCTGCTGTGTCGAGCCAAAGATTTTGTCGATTTTGGACCAATCGGGGTTCTAGATCCAGACGTCCCTGTTAACAGCTGGCGATGTTGATGACTTTGGTAGACTGAAGCACTGCCAATCCCAGACATTTAGCAGATGCTTGGAGCGACTGCATTAAATTTTGGCGGGATTCTCTGACAAGCAAACAGAAGCCTCAGCCAGCCCAAATCCTGACCTGAAATATTGTGCAAGTGCCATGGAACTGAAATTTTGTCTATATCGGCGATTGTACAGGTGGATGTAACATGGTGCATGCGTGCAGGATGATTAGAAAATTGTTGCTGCAGCCCTTCGCATGCATGTTTTTGTCAAGTTCGAGCCTCTGAGTGCGAGCTTTTCCGAAGACACAAAATCAGATCTGGACATGTGCTCTGCAGTGCAGGTGTTATTTTTTGTTGACTGCGGGCGTCTTTCGTCTCACTCTTCTCTGAAGAGAAAACAACAATCTTCTTTTTCGAAGCCCTGCATGTCGATGGAACTTCAGGTGCACCTGCCGTTGGCCGCGAACTAGATGCTCTCGGCGAAGAACTGCAGCCGTCGGACAAACTCTTCAGCCTCTGCACAAGCCTCCAAAGCGCTGGCTCCAATTTCTTGCCGGTGGAGCTGCTCTGCATCTTGCTTCGAGCAAGAACGAAGCAGGAGCTCTTCTGGCAATTTCCTGTGCATCCTCTCTGCTTATCTCAAAGGCCAACATGATGCCGTCCCCTCACGACATTTGCTGTCGGCCTCAGAGTTTTTTCCACGATGTCTTGGAACAATCATTCTCGAGTCTGACTTGTGGATCTGGCGCTTGAATGCAGCTGTATTAAGAGGTCGATTCTGCTGTGAATCATGAAGGCTAAGGCGGTGTTCTTCGCTCTGGCCGGATGTCAGTACAGTGGACGCTCTCTCTGGGGAGGGTGTTGTCACTCCCCTCTTTGATAGCACAGGCCTTGTTTCAAGACCTAGGTCAGAATTCTGTCATTCGAGGTCTGCCGATTTTGAGGGCTGGAGGCTGCAGGGCCTGCAATCGTAGAGTGCTTGCAAAACGCCCGAGTTGCTTCAAAGGCACTCTGAGAACCCGCGCGGAGCTCACGACATTTGGGAGTGCTGCGTCACACTCCCGAACTGTTTGGAAGCGGCGCGCGCTT